CTAGGAGCTGGGGAGAGAGAGGAGGAATGGGAAAGGTGAGGGTTAAATGGTACAAAGTTTCAGTTATGCAGGATAAGTAAATTCTGGAGATCTACTAGACAGCCCCTATGCTTTTGCATGTATTGTTCCCTTTTCTTGAAATGCCTTCCTTCGTTATCTAAGGAGTCATGACCAAGTTCAGATGTCACCTGTTTTGTGATGTATTCCTTAAATTCCTCCTTAATTTCTCCAAAGTGACAAAAATTATTTCATCTCACATGCTCCCATAGATTCCTGTGCTCATGGTACCATTGGTACCATATTGTATTGTTACAGTTGGTTCACATCCATTCTGCTTGTTAGACTTTGTGACATCTGAGACCAAGATTTCTAGTTCAACATTTAAATTCAATAAATGTGTTGTTTTTCTTTTGGGGTGCAGGGATTGTGGTAGGTACAGAGGGCATATTGGTGACTATGATGTGATTTTTGTTCTTGGAAAAGTGTGCAGGCACTGACAGAAATAGGCATGGAAATGGATCAAGTCAATGCTGTGTGCAATACACAGTCACAGAACTAGGCTTCAGGAGTATAAAGCATAAGGAAAAGAAAGTGTTCTTCCCACCCAGACTTGGATGGGAGGGATGGAGATAATGGCTGAGCTAAATCTTGGAGGGCAAGTAGAAATTAGTCAGACCAAGAAAGGTACTGAAGAAGGAATGGTATTTCATAGAAAGGGAAGGCCTGAAAAAATACTGAGGCATGAGACCACAGTGTGTGGTTAAGGCAAAATAACAAGCCTCTCGGTATTGCTGGAGAAGAAATTAGCATGTAGGAAGTAGTAACAAATGAGGCGGAGGAGGGATCTGTGTAATAGATGGTGTGAGGGAGGTAGGGACAGAGTCATCCACACTGCTGAAGAGCTGGGTGTATCCTGTAGGGGAGAAAAGACTCTGTGACAGTTTTTGTAAAGGAATAAAGCATTCAGATGAAAAAGAGATTGTCCTGACTGTAGTGTAGAAAAAGCAAAAAAGGAGTGTGTGGGCAAAGCTCTGGCAACATTTCTCCAAGAGAGATGAAAAAGTTTGAACTCCCGGGTGGCTCTTGGGAGCCACAATCACAACAGCATCCTCCAACGGTGGGCAATATATCTTTGTTGAATGAATGAATGAATGAATGATTTAAAAAGCTAAAGCTTAACTAGCTTATACCATGGAAATTGTGACATTGAGACAATATTTTATTACCACCAGAGTAGGGTTTTCAATTCACTCTATTCAACACTAAATGTAATCAAAACTTGGCAGTTAGTTATAAAGTTGCATTGTCAATATCAATATGGCAGCCAAAGTGGCACAACTTGATTTTTGGGAGGGCAAATAAAAAATTTACTCTTCTTGTGTTTAAAACACAGCTATATAAGAAGTATATCAGCAGAAACACAGTCTATCTGCGGGTTATCATGGAGTAGGAGGGAGAGCAGAAAAAAAATATTCTTAAAGGCTCCATAGGGGGGCAGTAATGAAAATGCGTTAAGAAATGGCACTCCAAAAAATTATTACACCTTCAGTAGCATCAGCTAGTTTTAATCCAGGAGATTGACTCTTTTTGTTCACATAATTCTACTTAAGACCATCTGAGTATTTGAGATTCAACCTGGCATTATTGCTTGCTTTGTCTTTGGTATCATACTGACTTTAGGAAAATATATCTGAACAGAAAAATAGAAATATTCCCACGACTCAGAGAAATGGCATTTTGAATGTAAAACTCATTTTTTACCTGAGGCCCACAAGCCATTCCAAAAGGATGTCTCATCGATCCTCAGAGCAATCTATTTTATAGGGAAACAGAGCAGAGCACTCTTACGTTCTAACATCTCCCTATGGGGATGATAATTAGTTGCTCTAAATTCAGGCCCAGGAATTTTAATCTTAGATTAGCAGAAGGCATCCGAGGAGCTGTTTTTGTGGTGGTCATGGTTCTAAGATGGGAATTGGTTGTTCTGGAACCTCCTGTGACCTAGTACCTCAAGGAATCTGGTGGACCAGCTACTCAGTTAAGGTCAATACAGAGTCAACACTGGCCTCAGTGTTATCCCATCCATGACACCTCCCACCTCCCACCCTTTCTTCCCAGGAAATGCCCAATTCTGATGCTTTGTCCCCAGAGTGTCTGCCTTTTCTAAAATGCCAAGGTGATACTGCATTCACAACACAGAGATATCATCTGCTCCAGCAAGTCCAGAAGAAAAAGTAATGGCATTTGAACCCGAGTGGCGACACACACATTGCCACTGCATCTGTCTTTCTAATGAACTTGAACACACTTGCATCTGTGCTGAGGGATCCAGATTTTTCATTGTAAGGTGGAATTATCTTCTGAAACTGGTGCCGAGAAGACCATATCTCTCCACCTGCCAGTCTATTCTCTGAAGGCATTGGGCCTTTTAGATCCATGTTATGCGCTTTTAGAAGCAATTGGATCCTCCTCTATCTGGGTCTAATGGGAAAAATGTATATGCTGAAAAACATGGATCAGAATTTTTAAGGGATGACCCACCAGATTACTGTAGTCCAAGGCAGTTGAGCCAGTTTTGCCTAGATGGCTTGAGTTTGCTTAGACTAGATTTGCTTTCTGAGATCTGGAGAAATGCACATGTATTGCATCCCACACTTTGGCTTCACAAACCAAAAGGGGCATGGTTTCCTTTTTGTGCTGATTATCATGATGATCACATTCTCCTGATTTTCCTTCTACTTCTGTGCCTACTTCTCTTTTTCTTTTCTTGAATCAAGTTTTCCAGCCAACCCTTACATGCTGCTGATCATCTTTTCTCCTCTCCTTCTATAAAATCAGGTAACCTTATCTACTCTCATAGCTCTAACTATGCTATGTGATGGCTCTTGACAGCTCTGTGTCCTGACTATCAGATCTGTACTTACCTACCAACTGAGATCTCAATTCATGTGTCCCAAAGTCACTTCAAAATCACCTTCTCAGACCAAACTTAGCACATCCATTGGAAAGACTTCCCTCCTGTCTTTCCAAGATTGGAGAATGATGTCCACCTGCCAGAATACTGCTAGCAATCTAGGCATCCACCCATGGCCTCTTTCTCCCTCTCCATCGCACCCACATTAAGCAAACGTCATTTTATCTCCTCAGTTCCTTTCAATTATCTCTATGGCTGCTGGTGCAACATAAGCTACCACTGTCTCTGGTCTGGATGACTTTGACAGCTCCCTACTTGTTACACCTGCCCCCCCTACAGTTCTGTCCCATTCATTGGCCCACACTGAGGGCAAGCCATTCTCCCCAAATCACAAATCTAAGCTTACGATTTCCCTAGTTAACAGCTGACAGTTCTACATTTTGAAAGCCCTCTTTCATCTGGTTCTTATCTCCTATCTCTCCAAATTAAGACTTCCTTAAATTTTATGATGTAACTACTCTGAGATTCCTACCCACCCCCTCATTTTCTCTTCCCCTTCTCCTCTCTCTCCGTCCCTCTCCATCTTACCCAAGCACTCAAAGTTCACATCGATGTCCTCACACTGTTCTTTGTTGTCGAACTATCAGCTCTCAGGGCTGCTTCTTTATCCATTTCCCATGTAAACCTCCCTTCCTGACACCTGGAGTCAGAGTAGGTGTCACTTCCGTGTGCTTCAGAGGATACCGCACAGCCATATTAACATCACCTGTGTCTCCCTGACCACGTGCCCTGCTACTAGGCACACACCATCCTGTCTTCCTGATCCTCAACATTCAGGGAGCAGGCTTCTGAAAAGTTTTCCCTGACTTTTCAGGCCAGACTCAGTGACTCGCCTTTATGCTTTCATGGTAATGAGGCATCTTTTTTTTTTTTTAAGATTTATTTATTTATCTTAGAGAGAGAGTGAGCACAAGCAGGAGGGCCAGAGGGAGAGGGAGACAGAGAATCTCAAGAAGGCTTCACGCTCAGCGCAGAGCCGGACATGGAGCTCGATCTCACAACCCCGAGATCATGACCTGAGCTGAAACCAAGAGTCGGATGCCTAACTGACTGAGCCACGCAGGCTCCCCTGTAATGAGTCATCTTTCATGATGAAAGTCAGATTGTACTACTCTTCCCCGCAAGATGTTCCAAAGCCTCCGTGGTTCACTCCGAGTAACCCTCAAAGCCCTTACAATGGCCTACAGTGCCCTGCAGGCTCGGCCCTCTTGCTTCATCTTTTACTACTCTCTCCTTCCTTTTTCCAAGTAGGCACGCTACACCCTTAGGGCCATGGTGGTAACTGAAATGCTTTCCCTAGATATTCACATGACTCACTCCCTTGTGTCCTTTAACTTTTGCACAAATGTCCCCTCATCAATGAGGCCTACTGACCCACCCTATTTTAAGTTGTCATCTACACCACCCCCTCTACCAGCACACTCCGAATCCATTTTTGTCCCCATTTTTATAGCGCTTATTCCTTCTTACCATATGATACCAATTATTTATGATTCTCCCTCTTTGTCCTGATTGTATTATGTTAAAACTTTTTCTTTATCCACTTGCCCACCACCAAATCATGCACTCTTTGGATGCACGGGTTTTTGCTGTTGTATCTAATGACAGTACCTAGCACATTTCCTGAAAATAGCCGGCCCCTAATAAATGTTCGTTGAGTGCATGTATTCATCTCTGACCTCACCACCCCATAGCTTTGCAGGGTTGCCAGTCACACCATGCCAAACTAGGATGTGAGTGCAAAAGTGTCGTTTTCTTAGTGGAAAAGCTGCACTGTAAACTCACACATCTGAGATCTCCAAAGATGAAAGGTCTAATACGGACCACTACGGTGAACGTTTCTCCTGCAGAGTCCCTTCAGAGGTTAAAAATTTACCATTGTCCGTTTGGCTTTTTTCTCTATTCTGTGTCTATAATTGGGACATTTATTTTGGTACATTAGAAAACTAAAGGAAAGCCTGGGTAGCATAAGCTTGAAAAATAGTGTCTTGCCTTCCGTGACTTCTCTTTTTCTTTCCTTTCTCAGAGCTCTTCCTGCCATGATGCAGTGGGTCCGCACTCAGAAGCCGGGAGAGAGTGGTATCAATATTGTCACTGCTGATTTTGTGGAACTTGGTGATTTCATCAGCACTGTCATAAAGCTCAACTATGTCTTTGATGAGGGAGAAGCCAACACTTGATAGTACCATTTGGAACATCCACGAGTAAGACAGAGAAGACTCATTGTATTAGGCATACTATCTATAAACACTCTGATCTTCCTATTCCACTGGGTGTGAGGGGATTAGACTGGTAGTGGGTGGGAAAAGGGGGAAACCATTTCTTCAGTGATTGTTATCATACTGCATTACTATAAATATTTCATTTCCCATTTGATGAGCAAAATCTGCTTCTAGTGTTAGGGATAAAAAAAGACCGTGAATTTTGTTTTTCAGAATTAGTCTTTGCAATGTATATCTGATGAATGTTTACGTGATTGCATTTCTGATTTCAGCCTAGGGCTCCTACACTGATTCCTCTAACTGAACCTTTCCACTCGCTCTCTCGCTCGCTCTTTTTAATCAGATGCTGTATGGGACTCAAAACAATTGAATGCCCAACGTAATGTGTATTACATTGATGTACTGAAATTTTTTTTGTGAGACTTGGTATAATATAATATCCTCTAGTCATCTGCAATTGGTCGATCATTGCTAACCTTTGGTCATAGAAAATATGCATCAAGTCAGTTTCCCTGCATCAGTAACATTGGAGGACATAATCAGTAATTTTTGTGTTATATGAAAATAACAGTGTTTCATAGTATTTCTATTTAAGGCAGCTATAAATATAGTGTAAAAACTTTTTTGGAAGAACAATTAGTGCCAACTCTGTAGTGAAAGATGGGGGAGGGGGAAGAGATGGATGCCATTTTAATTCAGGAATCTCTTAAATAATATTGCCCTGCAAATGCTCAGTAAATGAAAAATTATGACAAATGTGTTTAAATCAGGAAACTCTGAAAAGAACTCTTACAAAAATCTCCCCTAACAATTCTCTTGATTTAAAAAAAAAAAAAGGTAGAAAAAAAGAAGAAATGAATAAAAGATTGTGCAAGCTTTCCTATGAAGTTGGGATCTCCAAACATGTAATTCTAAATCCCAGATTTTGAGGAACATATTTTGAGAAGCTTCGATTCAAATTTTTACTTGAAGTTGAGGAAAGAGGAAAGATGGCAAAAAGAAATAGAGCAGTTTTTGAAACTATGTCCATAAAATCTCAAAGATCATGAAATGTCTTTAGGAGATTCTTACATACATGTGATCTGGGCAGATGCACTGAAAATTAACACTGACCCATCATTTCTGGATTCTGTCCTACCCCAGGATAGAGACTGGGGCAGAAGCAAAAGTTTTACAGAACATTTCAGTGTCCCAAGATTTGATAGTCCGGGTCTACGGGGAAGAAAAATGGTAGCAGGACTTTGAGCCTCGCTTCCTCCGTGGTGTCTTTGTGATTTTTGACAACACTAAGATGATTTTTGAAAAGCACAATAACCCTCAACTATGTGCCTCACAGGAATATTGTGAGGCACAACTAAAAATCTATAAATTGCTGAAATTCTTATAATTATGAATTATTTTATCTTCATGTTTAGAAATAATTGCACCTCAGTAGTCCCTTGGGAAAATGCGGTCCATGCAAAGTAGGGCCATAGAAAAATAAAAGCATGCCCTCAGTTTTTAATTAATTTAAACATAGGGCATGTGGTTTAATCTCTTAAACCTAGGCAAGGGGGTTGATTATGTCAAGATTGTGAATAATCAAGAGCTGGCTATAAGATTATAAATACTCATTGTCAAAAAATAGTATTTATAAGCAGCTGCCGGGAAGCAAGAGAAATTGTTTATACTGAAGAGAATGTTTATGCAGAGTGTTTGGTCTGCTCAGTAGACCTGGTAGTGTGCATATACATGCAACAGTTCCACATTCCAGTTGCGCGTCTATGTCTTACTACGCACAGTATGCCAACGTCCACCCATCCTGCCAGTGGATAGATACAAATGCACACAGACAGACACACAGACATGGGCAAACACAGCCACGGTTCTTCTTTTCAAGCAAAAACACTGATAATATTAAATAGTTTAATTTTTAGACCGAAACCCTCAAGGTATGAAAAGAGTGATAAGACCTTTGAAAGTAGAGTGGCTGACCATATTCAAATATTTTTGTAAAAATATTCTAGCTTGGGACTTAATTATTTACAAATAGAGTTTTCTTTCCATCTTCCCTCCTCTTGCGGTTTATTGTCTTTTTAGCTCTTTCACCTGCTCTTAATGTGCAATTGAATATGAATCCTTTTTAAAGGACTATGGATTATTGAAATTTTCATCCTGTAAATTTGCTTTGTGAGCAGATTTTTCTCTCTGACAATTCATTATTCATCCCTCAGGAGGATCTTTAGCCAAGCACACTTGCAATGACACAAGGATTTAACTTATAAATATGACAGAAAACAAATCTTTCAACATATTAATGAAGAATGAATAAAATATAGAGGTAACTATGTTGTATTTTCTTGAACTAAATGCTTTCTTATAATGTTTGCTTAGAATTAGCTTTGTCACATTTGTCATTTGGGTGCTGGAAAAAACAAACATGCTGAAGCTTTAGACTGTGCAGTTTTTTAACTGGAGAAAGCTTTTTATTGCTATTAATGATATGCACACAGAAACCTTGTTTGACAGAAGGTACTTTCAAGTCAATGCTATGGTTTCCATGTGGACATACAGTCCCTATGTAGCAGGCACCAAGAGTAAGTGGACTTGCCTTAATTTCTAAAGGAGGGAACAGGTAGAAGTAAACTCTGGGTCCTCCAGCTAGAGGGAGAGTCACCAGGAGGGAGTCCTTGGAAAGAGGAATGGAGAGAAGGTGCCTTTGGCTGTCTTCTGTCCATTGGCCCTGCCCTGGAGCACATTTCAGGAGCAGGCTGTGGGCCTTAAATAAAAAGTGGGGGTGAGGACTAGTATTATGCCATCAGAGCTAACCCTCAGCCTATGCTCCTTTGTCTTAGCAAGGCATTGTCTTTCCAGAGAGCTAGGAACACAAGGGCTACAAATAGGCCCCAAGATAGTAGGAGATACATCTTGGTGCACTTTTTTTTTTTTTTTTGCTTTTTCTTGAGACTTTATGGCACATATCCTGCAAGGCAAAAAACAGAAACAAAATCCAACTTTTACCCAATCTGCAGCAGGAAATCAAAGAAGCGGGTGGGATGAGGGGAAAATATGCAAGGAATATCATTTTTTGGGTTTGCTTTCCTGTCTGTGATTTTGAAGGACCAAAATGGTGAACACTCCTGCCATTATCATTTCTGTCTCCCTTATTACTACACAATCATATGAGTGCAGAGAATGAGGAGCCATCTTTTAAAAGCCTTAGGATATTCTATATGATGACCTCAATATTCACTTTCAGCCATACTGGGAAAACTCACTTTTCATGGAGCGCCACCTAACAGTGAATGTACTAGAGCATGAAGTGTTTGGCATGTGTGCGCCTGTATGTGTACACACATGCAAACACACACACACACACACACATGCATACACACACATGCAAACACACATGCAAACACACACCTACACACACATGCAAACACACATGCACACACACATATACACAGACACATGCAAACACACACAGACACACATGCAAACACACACACATACATACACACACATACACATACACACACACTGGATACACATCTCACACACACACATTATTCAAGTTAAAACTGCACTCTCTACTCACTCAACTTGATTCTATTGCCATTTTAACTCTTAAAATCAATATTTCCTACATTAATGGGCATAAACGTACTTCAGATATTTAAATATTTAAGAGAGAAAAAAATCGCTAGAAAACCAGTGAACAATGAGACCATCATAAATCAGAAATGCCTAGCAGTAATAGTCTAAATACATTGTCAATTATACTTCAAGCTGGAGAATTGAAGATGGACTTGAATATAAATTACAAACAAACACTCATCTTTACTTAAAGCTGTTTTAAGTTCTTTGAGGTCCTGACATGTTTTAGCCAGTTACTGGTTCAGGTTCTCCCCTGTTAGCATTCCAGACTAGAAAGTTGAAAGTCTCAGGAAATGCATGTTCTCATGAGTTTCCAGTTCTATAGTTTTACAGATTCAATGACACAATCTCCTAACATTTGGTTACTCATCCAAATGAAAGCTTCATAGGTAGAGTGCTTGAGTTTTGAATTGCTAACAGAAAATGATGCACAGTGTCCCTCAGGATATGCTAAGCAAGGTTTTTAAAAGTATTTTATTTTACAGCACTTTAGTCTTTTCAATTAGATTTCAGTGCCACAATGGTGTAAATGCTATATTTGCCATAACTTCTTGGTGGCTCCTGTGTTACATACAATTTTAAACAATGCTCTAAATTGTTTGTTTTCCCAACAACATCAATAAAATGTTCTGTAGAATTTGTAAAATGTATTGATTGAGTCTGTTGAAAATTGTGCAGTTTTTATTTCATTTGTGATATATTTCGTAGGTGTTAGTTCTAAATGTATATTTGTATGAGTCAAAAGTATGTGCTTGTATGTGGTTCGTGTGTTAATATATTGTATCTTACAAAAAATCAAACTTATCCTAAAGAAAAAGGGCACATTATGACCAGCCTTAATTCATTGCCATTTTTTGTTGTTGTAATTTGGGATTAAAATTTAAAGAGAAATTATGTTTTTGTTTAAAATGGTCTTTTTTAGAAAAAAATCATATGAGGAATGTGCTTTAGAAATTATCTGAGTTCCCCCAAGCATAAATAGTTAAGCTTGTGGAGCACCTGAAGCTTCTCAAAAGTTTCCAATGTCAGTCATTTACTAACTTCATTATCATGCAAAAACTTAGATTCACGTTTGTTTCCATCAGCAACAGAACCAGTACCCTTCAAAAGCTGTTCTTCCAAACTTGGAACCATGTGAGGATAAGTTTGTGAGGATAAGTTTTCCATGAAAAATTGTTTCTTCAATTTTGCTTTTTAAAGATTGGATCTTCTCAGTTAAGATGAACTGCCTAGGTTCTATGAGAGTCACTAAAGACCCATCAACATTAGGTGGTTCCAACATGGTTCCCTTCTCAAAACACAGGCATACAATATCCTTTTACACCTTTGTTATCTGCCTACATGTAGTCTAGCAATGGAAAATGCATGACTAATTCAAGGACCTGCATGAGTTGTCATGCTCAAGGCAAAAATGTTGTAATCTTCCTTGAGCCTGGGATCTAGGTGTGGAATATTAATCAGTCTTCTTATTTCCTCTTCTTTCTCTATCCTCAGTTATTTATTTTCCATATTTAAGCTTGCCAGATAAAACACAGGACACCCAGTGAGATTCAAATTTCAGATAAGCAATATTTTTTAGTATAAGAATTTCCAAAATATTTCATAAGACATACTAAAAACTTACTGATTGTTTATCTGAAGTTCAAATTTAACCAACCCTATCTATCTTGCCTCTCTCTTTTTCAGCTGGGCTCCCTATAAAGGGTGAGATTCTACCTCCTTCTAAACCCCTATATTATATCTCATGGAAATCTATAGTCTTAACACCCTTCATGAAGGAAAATGTTGGTCCATACAAAGTTCCATGGATGCTTTACAAAGGACCAACTCAAATAGACACAGCATAATCAGTCAAGCAAGTGCCTCTATAAGATTAATGCCACTACATTCAAAATTTCCCTTTACCATCCCGTTGCAAGATCCAGAGTCTCCCCTACTAATCCCTTAAGTAACATTCCCCAGTAACTGGGACACCCAAAAACACTACACATTAAAAATTCCCTGGAAAGTGGTAGCACCTTCCAACTCAATACCAGGACCTCTTTTACAATTCAATTTCTCCTTCATTCAGAGGGGTAAACTAATTCACTACTTCCCTCATTAACACCCTACCACAAATTACTTTTATCAGTTTAGAACCGATCATCTATGGAACTATAGAAAATTTGACCTAGAAAAAAACCAAAACTCTCTTGATTGCTGAAAAAA